AATCAGAAAACGCGAGCACATTACTGTTGAGGTTGTCAAATCAGTGCCGCTTTCCTATTGAAAATATTACCAACGGAGTCCTAAGGTGAAAACGAACTCATTCGGTCTACACAAAAGCGGTCTGTCATGTTTATATAGTAAATAGCTAGATGGAACGATGATCAGGCTTTGCCAATAATGCGAAACATGTCGCTGTTATAGTTTTTCTGGGTTTTTCAGTAAATGCTGCTGGATAGTGGAATTCCATGTTTTGGTTGTCGTTTTTGATCTGCAAGACAGAGTACCTTGTTCTTTTTGAGGGATAGTTTGGTTTCTATTGCTGGAAGGGACCTGCTGTCTTATTATATCCCCAAGCTACAATTCCTACCAAATTCTTCGACTTTCCTTCCAAAAATATTCCTGTTTTCTTGAGATTTAAAGGTTGTAATAGCTACAAACGTACCTTTCAGTTAACTATCCTTTTTCAAATAGATTGAAGTTTATGCCTATCATAACAAAAACCGCCCAACAAGCAAAAAGTAAATTGCAAATTATGCAATGATGGGAGAAATCGCTGTTACAAAAATAAACCAATTAACCCTTGTACGTTTTCAGGGTTCTCTGAATAGGAAAAGTGCAAATGAATGGAAATTTTAGGGGAGCGATTCTCCTTTCATGTTCTGTTTAGGAGAGCAATTCATAGCTCGCCTCAGGTTGCAAGGGGAGCGTGGAGGCGAGCGCGAGCTATCGCTCGCCTCAAACGGCCAGGCCTGATAATTGTGTGTGTTGGGAAAGCAGTTAATTCCATTTATCTGCCTGTTTGCTGTGGGAAAAAAGTAACTTGACTTTGATTTATCTTTGCACTTTGTTAAACACCTGTAATATCTTTGTCTGATGACTTCTTTATACCTTTGCGTAATCCTTTTACTCGTTTTCTCTCCAGTTGTGTTTTTGTTTTTGTTATAGAAAAGGCTCTCACTCGTAGGTATAATTTGATCATATTCTCCAGTAGGCTTAAACTTGTATCCTTTTCCAAGATGTGTGCATCATACTCTTTGATGGTATTGAACAAACTTGTTATGTTAATGTGCTTCATTAATTTTTGCGTTATTTCTTGGCAGTTAATGGACACCACATGGCTCTGTGTTTCTCTTCTAAATTCTTCTTCAACAAGTTTGAATAACTCAATAACTTCTCTCTTAACTCCCCATAAACCACCTCTAGATTGGCATTGGATCAATCTCTGAGTGCTAATATCATCACTCCGGCAGGAATTCAGCAATAAAAGCACACCCTGGACAGCTTCAGATTTAGAATCAGTTTTTCTGTTATATTTTCTGACCAGTGAGTGAATTACATAGCCAGCTAGGTATTGCAGCCCATCAAATTCACGTTCTGAAATTGGCTTGACCACAACAGGTTGCTGAACAGGTTTCTTATAAAATGCTAATATTTTATCAGCAAGTTGTGATGCAAGAATGGTGCACACAGGCATTTCCAACTGGCTGAAATATTTTTTGGCATTTTTGACAATAAGAGAATTAAATGCAGAATAGAATTTTTCTGCATCTCCATTTCTTTTCAAGGACTGATAAATTTTCGGAATTTCTTCTTTCAAGGAATTGTTCACATCTTCTGTAACATAAGCAACTGCAATACTGCGGATTTCGTCAGGAAAACACTCATCTTTGCTTATATCTTCTTTTGCTTCTTCAATAAAAGATTTAATTGTCACACTATCTAAACTTATGGTATCTCCTTCAGTCTCTGTTCCTGTTATTTCAGTGTGTTTCAGATCCTGATGTTTTTTCAGCCCTCCTTTGCTTTTATAACTTTTTCCACAGTGGGAACAACATAAACTTTGAGTTTTTTATGTCTGCCAAGAAAAAAAGATTGGCAGTTTAGACTATTGACAAAAATATTTATTTTAAATTTCAAATTAGATAAAAATATACTTTTATTTAAAAGAAAATAGGTGATAACAGAAAATAGTTTCAGGCACGAAGTGTTGTATTTCTTCCAATAAATACCCACCTGTTCATAGGGTGGCCTTTATTAGAAACATTGCATATATCTAGCGTTTCAAAAAATGAATAAATCTCTGGGTATTTATTGGGGGAAATAGATACCGTTTGTTCGTACTCGTAAAAAACGTCTACCCGAGGCCTAAAGTCTCCAGCGGCTGACTGGCTTGGACTTGCAATTGATGATAGATTTAAACATTTTGACAACTCTGTTTCAAAACAATCCAAATACATCTCAAGTACAAAATATAATTAATATGATAAACAAGCCAGAGAGGCATTCCAAATATTATCTTCGGAAACTAAACATCCAGTCTCATGGATGTATGTAAATAGGCCTATTGAAAATGAAAACGTAATAAATGTTAAAAAATGTTCTATGTTTCACCTGTTGAGGATCTTCAACCAATGCATCATCGCATTGCAGTTTGAATTCATCATCATCCATGTACTCGAACAAAAAATCGATTGTTTCCCCACTCAAAAAGTCTTCTTCATTTGTGGTGTTTCCACTGTAGAACGCCATTTTAAAAAACAACTTGCACTCAGTTTGACCACGTGACTGGATTTTGTCCGATCGCCGAGTTTCTAAAGCACAAACAAAGAAAACAAAAGAGAGAGAACAATAGGCTTCCAGACCAGTCCTCCTTTCTATTGACTATGGCAAGACACAACGTCAATGCCGCTGTGACTGCAACAGAGGAGACAAAGTGTAATGAACAATTAGGCTGTCATTTGCAAATCCAACCTTTCAATCATTCCAAATTTGTCAACAAAGTATTCACGAGAGGTCTGTCCAAAATAAATGTTTACAGTGGAAAACAGCTTACATCATAATGTATGTTTTTTTAAGTTAGAATTAGGATCCAAAAGATTACCATGATCCACCGGAGAATCAAATATAGTAAAATCCTCGCTTTAAACTGCCTCTTAAAAAATTAGTAATTTGCGAAATTTCGCAAAATACAGTTTTTTCACAACTACTAAAATGGGGTCGTATCAACATAAATCACGTCGGTAGGGTATGATGTCTCTAGAAAATGCAGGAACAAGGCGCCATTGCCATTAACAATGTATGCTGTGTTGCTGTTTAGTCCTGCTTTAGAGATTTCGGTTTGACTCTCGACCCTTAGAAAATAGACCAAATTTTCATGTGATAAAGATCATATCATTTCGGAATAGTATAGAAAACGACTTTACGATCAAAAGGGGACACAATTACAGCAAAATCCTCGCTTTAAGCTTCGTTTTAAAAAATTAATTTTTTGAGATTTAAATAGTAAGATAAGATAAAACCATTTGCAGCTTATTTTATTAACGTGTATGAAACATTGTAATATATCATTGTATCTTATTTATCTAGAAATGCAGCTCATGTGCTTTCTACAAATAGAAATGCAGTTCGTGTGCAATGAACTGCACATGCGGAATTGTCGTCCTGTATCGTCATTGATTCTTAACATTCCTCTCCAAAAGTATAGATGTCAACGTAAGATGCAGCTCTTCTTTAGGCAGTAGAATTTTCTAACCATCTGACTTGATATTGTCATCCTGAGAAATTTGCCATCTTGATCCTTTATTGGACGCTCGTATCTCTCCTTGTGTACGATAACCATGTCCCCTTCAGGAGAAACAGGGTTTTCTTTGCCAAAGGCAATCTTGCATGATATGCATGCTTTTGCTCTATCGCATTGCTTATCTTTTAGAAAACGTATATCAAACTTCTCCGTGTTGTGGAAATACTCTGGAATCTGTAAAGGTCAAATCTGGCCATTTTTGAATATCTGCCACTTTAAAGTATTTACATTTTAATGGTGATTATAGTTTTTGTCATTGGGAAACACAACGTATGATTTGGGGGGTTTAAAGTCGTCTACTCCTACCTGAAAACCGCAAGGCGAACGAGACCTGTAACTAGGTAAGTTGTGACGTAAACTGAGTCATAATATGCCTGAACAAAGGAACAGTAAAGTCATTTGTACTTGACGACCCGCTGATCGACGTACTCTCGAAAATTTGTTTCATCTCACTTCAAAATCGGGAAAGCATGTCGGATATCAGCGATTCTTCAGAAACTTACGATGATCAAGATCTTAGTGACACATCTCAATTCGAGCTTGATGTGGAAGACTAGGATGATATAGCCCAAGGCGTAGAGCAAAGACTAGGCCAAGCAACTGGCGGTAACGATGCCGATTTCGAGGGTCCCTGTATGGGTGAACCATTAGCAGATGAGCTTCGAAACTATACCTGACAGCGCAGAGAGGACGAAGCCAGACAAAGAATACTTACTAGCCATCTGGATGGAACGGAGCCGTTTAATACCTGGTAGGTTGTTCAGTGTTTTGTGATTAGGCCAAAGGCCCTTCGCCTACTAGGCCCCTCTTGCCGACGCTGCCTAGAAGTATTTCACAACAGGATTTTATAACTGATTTGCAATTGTAAAATTTCCCTTTCTGAATACTAAAAGCAATATTAAATTATTACTTTATTTTGAGCATGATTTCAAGCTA